TATATAGAAACTTATTAATGAGGGTAGTAATGAGTTCTTTTTCTTTTAGGAAACAGTTTCTTTCTTTTTTTTTTTTAATGAAGGCCTTTCTTGTTTTTTTGTTTTGTTTTTTTATTTTAACTTAACTCTATTTTATGTGCATTAGTGTGAGGCTGTTGGATCCCCTGGAGCTGTAGTTACTGACAGTTGTGAGCTGCCTTGTGGGTGCTGGGAATTGAACCCTGGTCCTCTGAAGAGCAGGCAGTGCTCTTAACTGATAGGCCATTACTCCAGCCCCTAGGAGACAGTTTCTTTATGAAGTCCTAGAACTCACTCTGTAGACCAAGCTGACCTAATACTGCTAGTAGGACAGTGGAAGCCAGAGATCTCGATTTAGAGGCCAGCAGGGATTACATAGTGAGATCCTGTCCTAAAACAGGCAAGGCTCCTGTCTTAGCCTTCTTGGTGGTGGATTATAGGTGTGCACCTATAATCTGCATTTGTACGCTCTTTTGCACCTTGCTTTTTTTTCTAAGTTAGAAGGTAAGTCAAATGTGGTGTGACACACATCTTTAATCCCAGCACTCAGGAGGCAGAGGCAGACAGATCTCTATGACTTTGAAGCCAGCTTGGTCTACAGAGCGAGTTACAGGACAGGTTCCAAAACAATACAGAGAAACCCTGTCTTGAAAAACCAAAAGTCAATCAACCAAACAAAAAGATTTATTTTTTTAAAAAAGGTAGTGGTGGCACGTACCTCTAATCCCAGCACTCAGGAAGCAGAGGCAGGTGGATCTCTGAGTTTGAGGCCAGCTTGGTCTACAAAGTGAATTCCAGGACAGCTAAAAAAAAAAAAAAAAAAAGAGAGAGAGAGAGAGACTTATTATTTTATGTTTGTGTATATATGTGTGTCTATGTCTGTTGGGTATATGCACATGAGTGATGCTGCACAGGGAAGCCAGAAGCATCAAATCCCTCTGGATCTGGAGTTACAGGTGGTTGCCAGCTGCCCAACATGGATGCTGAGAACTAAGGGAGTCCAGTAGTATGTGCTTTTAGAAAAAATTATATATATGGGTTTTTCCTAGCATGTGTATCTGTTTATCATTTGTGTCTGATACCCTCTAAAGCTAGAAGAGGGCATTAGATCCCCTGGAACTGGAGTGATAGTCTCCATGAGTCACTATGTTGGTGCTGGGCCTCAAACCAGAGTTCTGTGGAAGAGCAGCCAGCCAGTGCTCTTAACCACAGAGGCATCTCTCTAGCTCCATTTTTTAACAAATATAAATACGTTGTTGGGGACCATAGTTTTTCCACTGTGGCAGAAGGAAGATACAGGTAAAAAGTGGAGAGATTTAAATAGGAAAATATCCTATGAATTTTTTATGTATAAAGGCTAAGTGGTCAAGAGTGGCCTTGGTAACAACAGCCTAAGTGCTAACAAACAATGGGAGACGAGCAGTATAATATTCCTATCAGAAAATGTTAACCCGAATCTCACTGCAGGGAAACTGCAGGGCCTGGAAATAATGGCTCAGCAGTTAAGAGAACTTGTTGCTCTTGCAGAAGACTTGAGCTCACTCAAGTTGCACTCCACTAATTGTGCAACTCACAGCCAGCTTCAATGGATCCAACACCCTCTTTTGTTCTCTGAAGAAACTAGACATGCACATGGGGTACAAACATAACAAACATATATGCAAGCAAAACACCTGTACTCATAACAATTAAGAAAATCTGCTGGCCAGTGTGCTGCACAACTTTAAGCCTAGAACTCAGGAGGCAGAGGCAGGTGGATCTCTGAATTTGAGGCCAGCCTGGTGTACAGAGTGAGTTCCAGGACAGTCAGGCGACACAGAGAAACTCTGTCTTTAGAAACCAGAACAAACAAGTGATTTTTAAAAAGAAAATAAATGCAGGGTGAATAGTGGGCTGGCATGTCAGTGTGACCAGTGTACCCAGATGAGAGTTTTACCATTTTGTTTTTGTGAGTTGCAAATTCTCAAAATTAAACTGAGCATGTTCGTCCCTGTAATCTCATCACTCAAATGGCTGAGGTGGGAGTTCTATGCTAGTCCAAGGTATACATTCAGACTCCGTCTCAGTTTTTTCCCCCTCAGAATTAAAAGCTATCTTTACAACTAGTGGGGCTGGAGTTCTAGGCTAATTTATCTCTTTTCAATTTTTTGTTGTTTTGTTCTTGTTTTTTTTTTTTTTTTTTTTTTGTTTTGTTTTTTTTTTTTTTTTTTCTGAGAGATGGTTTCTTTGTATAATAGTCCTAGCTGTCTTGCATTCACTTTGTAGATCAGGCTGGCCTTGAATTCACAGAGATCCACGTGCCTCTGCCTCCCCAGTGCTGGGATTAAGACATGCGCCACCACCACCCAGCCCTTTCCAGTATTTTTATAATTTCTTTATTTTTAGGTTTAAGAAATCCATGGTGAAGAGCCTGGATTCCTATGAGGAAAAAGAGGATGAGGTGATTAAAGAGGTAGGAAGAAAGACCTCTGAAAAGGACCTCTCCCCATGATCCTGAACCACCCTAAGCATTCTTCCTCCCACAGATGGCTGCTCAAATCCGTGACATAGAACAGAGTCGGCAGGAAGTGGTCCGATCTGTCTTAGAGGTTGGTTTCCCTCGGAGGACCCAGAGCAGTATCCAAATCCACTGATGCCTGGTTTCCCCGGTCCAGCATTTCAACAGTCAGCTCTCTTCAGAGAACTAATGGGTCACAAGTCCATATGCCTCAATGGAGATGTGGGCAGGGCTGGGAGCTGGCAAAATGGGCAGTACCCTCCATAAGATACTGGGGTCTGGAGTGTGGGGGCATGGTCCAGGCAGGCTCTTAAGCACCTTAGACACATTTATTTTTCCTGAATCAAACTCAGCCTCAGGCAGAGCCAGATCCAGAAGAGGGCTCTTCAGCATCAGGAAGCTGGGAAGCAGCCAACGGGTAAGTTACCAGGAAACTCTTGAGTTGGATGCTGGAAAATGGGGACGGCTCTAATCTTTGTGATCCCCACTGCTCAAGGACCTCATCTGCCAGCCTGTCTCCCCTATTTTTCAGCCATATAGTAGTCTCCAGCTCACAGCAGGTATCACACTTGGACCTGGAACGTGTTCCAGAGCTTGACTGGATGGAGACAGGACAGCATCTAACATTCATTGGCCATCAGGTACTGTACGATGGACAAGCAAACCAAGAGTCACTGACCCCCTCAGGTCCAAGATAGCCCTGTTTTTTCCTACCTATTCTAGCCATCTGCAGCTCTTGTTGGCTTTCCCTTGCTACACCCTTCTGTGGTAGTGTTCCTAGACTCTATGCAGCCTTTACTCCTAACAGCTTCCACTCAGGAATACCAGTCTCACCACCTACTCTTCATATAGGGTATCCACACTTGGGTAACCTACAGGCATCTGAAATTATGCCCCTCCACCCTGCTATTGAGTCATAGCACTCACTTCTGTTCTCCATATTGCTGTGTAACTACTGACCTCTTTTACCTCCTGTTTACTTCAATCCCACCTTGGGACTGTTTCCAGTGATTGGAATTCTTCAGAAGTAGCACTGTCAGTTCTCTAGCTCTGAGTATTGTATCTCATAGTTTTCTCCCCATTTTTACCACAGGATACACCTGGAGTTGGTAATATACATTCAGGTAAGTTTCTGACCAGTGTTTCTATATCTGCTAGACAATTCTAGGGTTTTTTGTTGTTGAGACATGGTGTCAATTTGTAGCCATGACTGGGAATGGCCTTGAACTCAAGAGATTGGCCTGTCTGTGCCTCCTGAGTGCTGGGATTGAAGGTGTGAGATACAGGCTAATCCTTAGCTCATGCTGGCCATGAGCTCCTGAAACAATTTCTGAAGTGCTATAGAGTACTTTATCTACAAACATTGAGGACCCAGCTCCCAATCCCCAGCACCTCTCTATGCAAAAAGCTAGCTATAACCTTAGCACTGTTGGAGACAGATGAACCCTGAGAGCTTACTGACTAGCCAGGGTAGCTGAAACCAAGTGTTTCAGTGACTCTTTCCAAGAGAGATAGCTTTGGAGCCTATCCTGGAACTCAAGAGATCTGCCTCCCCAGTGCAGAAGATTAAAGACATGTGTCACCACCAACCAACCTTAACTCCAGCATTTAGGAGGCTGAGGCAGGAAGGTCTTGACTTTGAAGCCAGCTTGAACTATACCAGCTCCAAAAAAGAAAATGCCAACCAAAATAATTAGTCAAATAAAAATGAGCTACTGCCACATAAAGTAAGGTGGCTAAATGATGTTCTGGAACTCACTTTGTAGACCAGGCTGGCCTCCTATTAAAAGAAACACACCTCCTTCTGCTTCCTGAATGTTTAAAGGCTTACACTTGCACTCACAAGCTCCAGAAACCCCAGGTTTAAGCACTCCTGGCTGGAAAATGTTATATAGTAAAGGGTTTTCCTTTGTCTCAGGCGCCACACCTCCATGGATGATCCAAGAGGAAGAACACAGCTCTGGAAACCTACCGATAGGGCCTTCCTATGAAGAATTTCTTAAAGAAAGTAAGTTCTTTAACTTCACATTTAATGCCATTTGCTAAGCTGGCTGCAACGCAGCACCATGTCAACAGGTCCAATTACTTAGCAGTCTGAGACAAAACTACTTGAGTTCAGTCAGATCAGCATATTCCCTATTTGCAGAAGAAAAACAAAAACTGAAGAAACTTCCCCCAGAACGAGTTGGGGCCAACTTTGACCACAGTTCAAACACGAGTGCAGGCTGGTTGCCTTCTTTTGGAAGAGTATGGAATAATGGTCGTCGCTGGCAATCCAGGCAAGTATCCAGACTTTTAATTAGCTACCTCATATATTTTCTACTAATCTTGCTATGATTAAATTCCTTTCAGGCATCAATTCAAAGCTGAAGCTGACACAAGAAGCAAGCAGCCACATAAAGGAAAAAGCTGAAAGTCCCCATCAGATCCTCCTACAATCTCATGGCCAGCGCACCCATTCCAACTATTATTCCTGAGACCAAAACATCTCCAGTTGCCTTTATTAGGAAACAGAAGCACCCATGCATTTGATTTAATAAAGTTTTATTTTTCCAAATGTACAGCTGATTGAACCTGCAAATAAAGAAACAAAATCAGAATCAAAATATCTCAGAGGGAATACACAGTATTTCAAAGCTAAGAGACCTTAGATTCTCACCTGTTTATGCATCTTCAGCAGCTGGGGCATCTCCACCCTTTGTGTTTCTGGTGTAAATTACTTGGGCTCTGTGCTTTGAAACCAGCTTGATAAGCCCTAGGGAGAAAGGGTACGGCTTTTTAAGATTTTAATGGTTGAAGGTCTTGCTGCATGAATGTATCCGAGGCCACCTGATGATGCTCTGGAAGGGTTTAAGCCATCTCTCCAGCCCCAAGGATATTTTTCTTTTTAAAGATGGTTTTTCTATTTCTTTGCTAAAAAGAATTACTACTTAACAATTAGACCCTAAGTTCTTAGAGTGGTATTTGAAAGAGGGTCTTACTTCGTAGCCCATACTGGCCTGGATATTGGGATCTTTTAACCTTCAATGTGCTGAGATCACTAGTGTGAGCCATCAATATAGCTGCTTTTAGGATTTACTTCTACAAACTTAAGTGTGTCTGAGTGCAGGATGGTGCGAGTGGGGTGGAAGTGGCTCCTGCCCTTAATCCCAGTGCTCAGGGGGCTGGGGCAGGGGTATCTGAGTTCTAGGACAGGCTCCAAAGCAAAACCCTTATTATAAAAATAAAATAAAATAAACCAAACCAACCCACTCACCAAAAATACAGGACATTATGTTTTACCTTTACTAAGCAGCTCCTGAAGGGCTGCTCTGGCCAAGGACCCTCGAATCTTCAGTCTCTCAGAGACCACAGCCGGAGTAATAAGCTTATAATTGGGTACTTCCTTGCAGAGTTTGTCATATGTAGCTTTGTCAAACAGAACTAGATTATTGAGCTTGTCCCGAACCTTGCCTTTGGACCACTTCTGCTCATAAAAACAAGTAAGCACTAGTCAGGAATTCTGGTAGAACCATCCTTTCCCAAATAACACAAGTCTGAGAAACCCCTCCAGATATCAAACTAAGTGACATAGCTTTAGAGCCTGGTAACAGAAAATGTGACAGCAGCTGTTAGAAGGCTGTGGTTTGAACCAAAGACTTTATACACTTTTCCACTGTGGCTTTAAACCAGTGGTTCTCAACCTAGGGGTCGAATATCAAATATCTACACTTTGAGCCATAACGATAGCAACGTTATACTCTCGGTTCGGTGGTTGCGAATGAGAGGCAAACAGCCGGATCTCTGAATTTGAGCCCAGCCTGGTCTACTGAGTGAATTCCAGGACAGGCAGGGCTATCACATAGAGACCTTGTCTAGAAAACCCAACCAAAAACTACAGTTATGAGGTAACAACGAAATAATTTTATGGTTGGGGGGTTATCATAACTGTCTTGAATAAAGGGGTCGCAGCATTAGGAAAGTTGAGAACCATTGTTTTAAAGGACTATGGTACCACCATATTCTTGAAATAATGAAAAGAATGAGAAAAGTCAACAGTATAATTTTAGAATTCACGATCTGAAGAAAAAAATCACAGCACAGATTTAGGGAAGGTCTCCCCCAGAATCAGAATCTATTACAAATGGCTATCCCCCTACCTTCTTTTTGGCCTTGCCACCAGACTTGTTTACTGGGTCTTTGTCTTTCTTGGCCGACTTTCCGGCATCTTTCTTCTTCTTGTCATCCTTAGGCGGCTATGGGAATAAGAGGGAGTGCAGGATGGTCATAGGGTGGCCCGCGTCTCCCCGACTGCTGTATTTCACCCACCCATGGCGGCGCCGTCGGAGCACATGGACGCAGTGCCCGAGGCAGCCCTGAGACGCAGCCCCGCAGATCAGGAAGCGCTCCGTGCAGCGTTGCCTTCAGCGTCCCCCAGCACCGCTCGGCCCTCTGAACCCCGCTGCTCAACACTGGCGAGCCTCACCATGATGAAGCTCGGAGAGTGGCGACGACCACTGCAACCTCCCTAAGATGTCGGAAAAAAGGAAGACCGCCTCGCCAGCAATCCCAGAAACCTCAGCCTTGAGAAAGTACTTCCGGGGCAAGGGTGGGACCACGCTTTAACAAGCTCCGCCTCGCCCACCTGTGAGCCGGGATGGGAGGCGGGGCTTCTAACCTGCAAGCCACGCCCCCTAGGCTCTGCTGCGGGTCACCCCACAGCCACTAAAGCTCTCGTCTGGTACCGAGAAACAGTAGACCAGTTCCCGGAAACGTGTTTCTTCGAACTGTGGGCGTTCGGTCTGCGCGTGCGCCTCGGGCGGGGGGGAGGGAGCATAGGCGGAGCCATGACCGCAGTTCCGGGGCTGGGACGTCCTCAAGAGGCCGGGTCGTAGCGCCTCAGCGGTAGCGCAGGGATGGCGATTTTTAGTGTGTACGTGGTGAACAAAGCGGGTGGCCTGATTTACCAGTGGGACAGCTACTCGCCGCGGGCTGAGGCCGAGAAAACTTTCAGTTACCCGCTGGACCTGCTGCTGAAACTGCACGATGAGCGAGTCCTGGTCGCTTTCGGCCAGCGCGACGGCATCCGGGGTGGGCTGGGTTCGAGGGCGGGGCCGGCTCTGCAGAAGTGGGCTGGCGGGAGGGGGCAGGATTGGGAGTCGGAATAAAAGGGGGAGTGGACCCGAGCCTCTCTGATGCTTAGGCTCTCTTCTGTAGTGGGTCACGCAGTCCTGGCCATCAACGGCGTGGATGTGAATGGCAAGTACACGGCCGACGGGAAAGAAGTGCTGGAGTATCTGGGTAACTCTGCAAATTACCCGGTGTCCATTCGATTCGGCCGGCCCCGACTTACCTCTAACGAGAAGCTCATGCTGGCTTCCATGTTCCACTCGTAAGTCCTTTCCACGCCCCCCTTAAACGTTTACTGCCCAGAACCTATCTCTAGGATGGCTAAAGTGTTTAATGTGTACTGACGATCAGTTTGTATTTAAGAGATGGCTGAGTTTTGGTTTCATGAAGAAATAACTGATAGAATATATCCAGGTTTGAGGTAGTTTAATCTTGTCTAACTCAGCTTCTTCCTCTTAGCCTTAGTTTCTTTATATTTAACATAAGGTAATTGAATTCTGTCTATTTATCTATGCTGATTTTTTGAGAGGGTTTCTCTGTGTAGCCCTGGCTGCCCTGGAACTTGTTCTGTAGACTAGGCTGACCTCCAACTCACAGAGATCCACTTCTTTTTGCCCCCCCCCCAAGTGTGGGAAATAAAGGTAATTGAATTAAGTCTTCCTGTGACTCCCATGTGGTGTGAGGTTTGTTGACATAGGCATAGCCATGAACTAAGAGGGTATACACGTATTCCCTAGCTGTAACATTTTTAGTGTAAAATGGTTCCTATTTTGGCTGGAATGATGGCTCAGTGCATGTTGCTCTTGCAGAGAGCCAGTGTCCACATGGTGGCTCACAGCTGTAATTACAATTCCAAGGGGTTCAACGCTGCCTTCTACCCTCAATGGGTATCAGGCACACATGTGGTATGCACACATACAGATACTCACACAACTACCATAAACTTTTTTTTAATATATACATTTGTTTTTATTTTATGTACACTGGTGTTTTGCCTGCATTTGTGTCAGAATAAGGGTGTCAACTCACTTTGAGCTGCATTACAGACAGTTGTGAACTGTCATGTAGGTGCTGTGACTTGAACCCAGGTCCTCTGGAAGAGCAGCCAGTACTATTAATCTGTGAGCCACCTCTCCAGCCCCATAAACTCGTTTTTATTTTGTCCTTATTGCTACATAAAGCAGTCTACAAAGAAGGCTTAGAGATGAAGTGACTTCACTGCCGGCAGGTGACTGTGACCAGAATTAAGACCATAAATAAAATTAAAAACGATTAAATAAATCTTAGGGGAACAGTTTTTCATAGCAAAATGTATAGTGTACAATGTATAAGAAGGTACATGAATGTAAAAGAAACTCTGACGGTCCTGCTAGGTAGGTCACAGATTTTTCTCCTGACTGTCCCAGGCTGTGAAGTGAACTCAGAAGATTGGGTACCTGATTGGAAAAGTTTGAGGAACACTTTTCCCATACATCACCTGGTACATTTCCAACTTTACCTCCCTTGCATACAGGCTCTTTGCCATTGGTTCCCAGCTGTCTCCGGAACAGGGAAGTTCAGGCATTGAGATGCTGGAAACAGACACATTCAAACTGCACTGCTTCCAAACACTGACAGGTATGTCCCTACAGGGGTGTCAGAGTGATAGATGGGGCAGATGGGACCAAGGGATGGACCAGAGGAAGCTAGGGTAAACAAGGACAGGAATGGTGTCAGGTTTTCTAGGGACATTTGTACAAACACATCCATTTGTTTTGTGACTCCGAAGCCAATATTTAATCAGAGGCTGATTTTGTTTATGTCACCCAGTGTGCTCAACCCTGGTTATCCTGGATTTGGATAAAATCCACATGAATGTTAGGTTTCACACGTTTTGAAATGTGTGTTGTTCCAAATAAAATTTGAAAGCCAAATAGACATGGCCTTTGGATCCTGCTTGTCATTGCTTCACTCCTTGATGCAGATAACTGAACTGCCAGAGTTTTATCTTCTGCTTGTCCTGTTTCTGCTGAGGGATTCCAAGACTGAAAATGGCAGTTAGACCCCAAGTCTGGTCACTCATTCACCTGGTGACAGCGAAGTCACTTCATCTCTAGCCTCCTGTTAGCTGCTTGATATGGCAATAGAGACAAAGTAAAAATGGGCTTATGGAAGTACTTTACAAAATTGAAAGGGCCGCAAAAAATACAGGATGATATTTGCTGCATTCTCTGTTCGTGGGTAATTGTTCCTGGCCTTTCTCCAGGGATCAAGTTTGTGGTCCTGGCAGATCCTAGGCAAGCTGGAATAGATTCTCTTCTCCGAAAAATTTATGAGATTTACTCAGACTTTGCCCTCAAGAATCCATTCTACTCCTTGGAAATGCCCATCAGGTAGGTAGTCCCATTTCCCAGATACTGTCAAAGCTGTCTCCCAAGTCACTTCAAGTGTGATCACAGTCCCCAGCTCTATTCATCTCAAGAACACAGGGTTTCCTTGTGCGTCATGTTCTTTGAATAGTTTCTGCTAATTCTCCCTCTGCCCTTTGTGGCAGAAGTCTCACCTCACAATATTTTTTGTCTTCTGCGTCTGGCCTAGATGTGAGCTGTTTGACCAAAACCTGAAGCTAGCTCTAGAGGTGGCAGAGAAGGCTGGCACTTTTGGACCTGGGTCATAGGCTGAACCTGGAATGCACCCTCCAGCAGTCTGAGACATGCTGCAGAAGGGCTTTGCTGTTTATACTCCAGTGAGGATCCTATTGCAGTAGCCCTGGTAATATACTTGAAAATGGGAGAACACTGAGCCTGGTGATGGGGATGGATCCTGGAAGAGTGCCATGTTCTCTACCCTTCTGTATATATCACAGTCCCATGCCCTACTCTGTACAGATTTATTTATGGAGGAAGCTGGCTTAGCAGTGCTGTAAATAAACATTCCTTTGTTCCGGTGTTTGCTGTTCTATCTTATGGTTTGGGAGAAAGGCATGGGAGGAGAAGGCAGAAATGGCAAGGATGTTCTATGAAGGTGATCTACTCCCTTCTAGTAGAAAGCCAAACAAATTGATGTTCATTAACTAACAGAGTTTGATTCTTGAGCCCTAGATGCAGTCCCAGAATTGCTGCTTTCCTGGGAGCCTGAGGTGTGGCAGTGGACAGTGGAGCACTTATTAGCATTTAGAAACAAGCTAATTTTTAGCTCAATATACACTCTAACCCTAGGATGTACATCCTATTACAGACAGAATTCAGCAAATTACAAGATACCTGTGCTTCAAAGTCCTCAAGCCAGTTACTGATGGCCTGCCTGAATTTGAATCCATGCTTTTGGCCTCCCTCTATCAAGTTATTTAACCTGCCTGCAACCCTGCAAGTATAGTGTTCAGCTGAATGTTGAGCTGTACTTAAAAGTCTCCATTTATACTTCTGTCTCACTCCAGAGAAAAATCTTTCCTTTTGATTAGAATACTTTCCCAAGGAAAGCTGTTTCTAACTTGTGTCTCCCTTTGAAATGATGAGCCACTGACTGTTTAGTATCAAATCTAGTTTTATTAATCTATAACAAATTGGCTTGCCCACTATATTCCCCCCCTTTGTCCCAGGGTATTGATGAGAATGGTGGCTTCCTCTCTTCCCGTGGTGACTGAGGTATTGGCAATAACTTTGCCCCCTGCTAAGAAGCCTTGGGGTACAAAAGAAACCACAGGCATTAATGTTCTGCAGCTGCAGAGACAGGTTCACCTCACTAGGAGATGAGGACAGGATAGGACCTAGGAAAGGAAGAAGGGTATGCAGTTGCCTGTCTGCTAGAAGATAGAAATAGAAGCTGATGGAGTCTAAAAACAAATATTTAAATAGATCATAGGATGGGAGTTGGGATCTCATTAGCCACTGATAACTTGCAGCACCATGGAGGTCCAAGGGGACAGGGTAGACACAGAAAGGTGGAGGGTCTATGCTAACCAGAGCAGCTTCTCCTTTTGTATGCCCTGCCAGGGAGGCTGACATTGGGGATGTTCCATAATGAGTACTCTCTTCACTCTGCCTTCTTGGGTACTCGGCCCATCTTGGTGCGGATATTTCGAAGCAAGAAGAAGACAACTGTGCTGGCTATACAAATCACTTCTGCTACCCAGAAGGCTGTGCTCCAGCTATAGTGCTTGGCAATGGTGCTGAAGGGTAATCCAGCCAGAAATCCACCCACTGTTGGGGAGAGAGAAGAACCTGAGCCACATCTGAGGCTAAGGCAGGTAGGGAGTTCTGCCTCTAGCAGGCCTGAGCAAGGCAGCTATTCCAGAAAGTACTGCTTACCATTTGCCATGAGTCCCACAATAGCATGAGAGGTGCCACACAAGTTGGGAGGTGCACTCTCATTGGCTATGACTCCAAATAAGGCAATGGGTCCATAAGAAGAGAAACCAAACACAGCTCCCAACACCAGGATCCAGATCTGCAAGGGCAGGGAGAGAGAGCATTGAAAATTAGTGCCCACAGTTGCCTAAGGAGAAGAGTGCCTAGCCTTTAGTCAAGCCATAGTAGCCATCCTCACCCCACTCCCAATACAGCTGATGATACAGATGGCAGTGAGCCAGCCCCAATGGCTTAGGTGGACAGGGGGGGTGGAGATAAGAGTCATTCACCCCTCTGAATTGGATGCTGGCTGTTTCAGAACTTGTACAAGCTGAGCTGGTTAGGGGCAGGACAAATGAAACAAAAGAGAGACAGACCAGGAGGAAAACCAGAGATATCTTTAAGGCACCTCGTGCTCCGTAAAGCCTGTGAGCTCAGCCAGAGGATGGAGAGCAGGAGTCCAGAAAGCAACATCCTAGAGAGCAGAGGAAAGAGAAGAAAACCAGGCCCAGAGTGGAGGGGGACAGAAAGTACTGGAGAGAAAGTAAGGTATAAACACACTGCAAAGGGAAAAGGAGCTGGCCGGGGGACCTTGCAGCCTGTCAGGCTCTTTATACTTACCTTGGGTGAGTCACTGGTCACTGTTACCCGGAAGAGGAACATGGATGCTGCCATGCCAGCCATCATGAACAGCAACAGGCCATGACGAGGGTTCCCATACATAGAAAGCCCTGCCTGGGGATACAGTGCCAGCCATATTAGGCCCTCCAAGTAAGGCAAAACATCCCCACCCCTGGACTCTGACACAGCAGGGCTACTGCTGACAGGCCTTTGGCAGTCTGTCACAGTTCTTGGCCCCATACAGCTCTGGGAGGCCCTGAGAGCTGCTCGGTGATCTGAGGCCAAATTCCACAACATCCCTTCCTCCACCTTGGGGCAGGCATGGGACACGTGCTGGGTAGCTGCACCTAGTCCACCCCTAGTTGTCTTGGGGCACAGAAGAAGCCTACTGAGAGATATTGGTTTTCTTTGCCATCAGTTAAGACTTTTCCCACCAGTCTGTTCTCCACATCTCAAGCAGATAAGAGAAGCCTGGAATCATTCCTACCTCATGCAACTTCTGTGCTAAGCAGCCCATATGCCAGTACTCCCATCTCTCCATTGGGTAGCCTAGCCATGAAAGGAAGACACAAAGGGCCTCTCTTCCTTAACAGTCCTTCCTGTTCACTCACCTTTGCCATGGCCCGGTCTGACAGATAGCCAGCTGCAATGCTGCCCACAAGGCCTCCAACCTCCAGGGCACTCATGTAGGAACTACCTGCATGGAGAATTGTGGGGAGAAGGAAGGGAAAATGAGAAGGTGTTTCCCACCGAGGATCTCCCACAGCGGCTTATCCCAAGATACGGAGACCCAACTCCAAGGGTACCCAGCCTCAGGGAAGGAGTCAGTAGATAAACGGAAGCAGAGCCTGGATAGCCCATCTGCATTGGCTCCTGTTTTTCACACCCTTCCCTGTTCAAACACTCCTCTTACCCACAAGGGCAGACTGCCCTCTTTCCTGGATAAGAAAGAACTGGCCCCAGTCTGTACAGCAGGTCTTTACTCCAAAGACTACAAGGTAGCCAGTGGAGAGCACCCATAGATAGGGGGACAGCAGCAGATCCTGTAGGGTGCTCTCCTCCTTTGATGAACCTGGAGGTAGGAAGAGGCCAAATAGGATCTGGGCTCTGCTCCTGCTGGCCTGCCCCCACTGGACCACCACCAGCAGCAGCAGCCACTGCTCATTAACAGTTTACAGGGCCAGAGTCTATGGGTACGAGCAGGATTGATGTGAAGGGTAACCCCTTAAACCCCTGCCTTCCTCTCCTCTCCCTTACTGTAAAAGCCTCAGCAAATGAAAGAGACTGATACGGATAGAAGTAGGCACCCGACCCACTTAAACTTAGGTGTTATCCAGAATAGAGAGGTCTGTGCCACCAGAGAAGGCCCAGGATGTGCTGGTTCTGACTTTCAAGAATAGAATTTTACTTCCCCACCTGACCTCCATTGCCATTCCTTCACCTGCATCCAATGGCAAGCACAGTGCAAGGCTTAGGCTAGTCCTAACAAAATTGTACCAAGTAAAGGGTGAATGAGGGTGCCTTGGGGGTCAGCTTGGAAGAAGCTCACCTTTTTTGCCCTTGGAGGGGGTAGGGTCCAGATTTCGGAGTCCAACGTCAGCAGGTTCATTGTGGATGAGTAGCAGGCAGAGGAAGGAGACAGCCACACACAGTGCTCCAGACAGGGCCAGTGTGCTGCGCCAGCTGTAGCTCTGGGCAAGGATTGTTGCCAAGATAGGTCCCAAACCTCCAGCCAGGTTCATGCTGGTTGACAACACAGCCCACCAAGTGCCAAACTGGGATGGCTCAAACCACTGTGAGATGGAAGGGGGCAAAATAGGGAGCAGCTCAAGTGCAGCAGACTCACATTACAGGGATGAGGGAAAGAGTGCTTCTACTTGGCAGAGCCAATTCCCTCATCTGCCACCCGATCCCACCACTCTCCGTCTCCTAAAATATCCTGACAAGCAGCAGAAGCTGGCAGAGACCTCCTAAGTAACCTACTATGGGTTAGGGGTAAAGAGAGATGGAAGAAGGGGTGCTCATTAGGTACCCTCTGCAACCAGACAGGCTTGTCAGATGCACTCACCTTCCTCAGGATCTTCCCACAGGGGGGCCAGCCCAGCCCCTGTGCCAGGCCATTAAGAAACCAGAGAGCAGCAAAGACTGGTACTGTGGAGCTCCAAGAGAAGACTACGTTGACTAGGCCGACCAGGAGCAGCCCGGAGGAGAAGAGCCAGCGGGCACTCATCCGATCAGACAGCACCCCACTCACAAACTTGCTGATGGCATAGGCTGCCGACTGGCTGCTGGTGATGAGCCCTGCAGCAAAGGGGAGCAGGGAGCAGGACACCTGAGGGGTTAGGGACTGGGCAGAGGCATAGGAGGAGTGGAGGAAGGCAAGGGGTCAGGTGTGTACAGGTGCTTGGCAGGGTGAAACAGGTTTCTTCCTGGAGGACCCGTGCTGCGGATTCAACCCTTTCCTACCTGCTGAGCCATTCGTCATAGGCCTGGGCTGATTTGGAACGTCTCAGCCTCAGATAATTCTATCTGCAGCTTTCCAAACTAGAAGGATGATGATTTCTTCCCTGGAATTTGCATTTCTCACCCTGAATGCCAAACCAAGGGCCTCAAGTTCTATTACCCCACCATGTCTGAATGGGGAGGGAAGGGCTCTAGTTAAAGATCTTATTCCTCCTTCCAGTAGCATGACAGGTCACATCAAATCATGAGTGTTACCTTCCCAGTGATCACTAACCTGCAGGTAAAGTATGTACCCACCCACAGGTGTGAAAACCATGCTCGGAGTCCCCTCTAAATAGTGTCTCTGTGGTACATGTAGGTCACTGTCATACACACCAGATAAGCAGCTAGCCCCAGTCCTCCACACACATGGAACTCAGCCTCTGTACTCGGTACATGCTTGACTGACTCTACACGAACACTTCATGCTTATACACACCACACTCCAACCAGTGTATCAATGCCACAGCCCACTACCCTAACCTTCCAAGGCTCACCCAAATCATCTTTGTCCAGAGCAATCTCTTCCACCAAGGATGGCATGACAAAGGAGAAGGTTTTGCGGTTGAAGTAGTACAGGCTGTAGCCCCCAAACATAGCTGCGAAGATGACAGTGCGATAATAGCCATATCCTTGGGCTGCCATGGCAGAAAAAGCTGGCCCTGTAGGGCAGGTCACAGTGCTTCTGACCACAGCCTCTTGACTGCTCCTGCTTGCAGCTCTTGGTGCCCGGATCTGCTGAGCTGGGTTTTTCAGCTCCCTCCTCCACCCAGCCTCTTTATAGCCACCGTCTGGACAATCATTAAGCCTGGGGCAGCAACTAGGGAACCCAGTGTCCTGAGGGAGACAAGAAAACAGTAGATTACTGAAAGCCAAAGTGGGGGAGGAGAAGGGGGTCCCAGAGGGAGGCGTGCCTGTCCCCAGGATTTCTGCCTTTCCCTCCTTTTCCATGTCTTCTTGCCTGTGAAACCAGCTGTGATTAAAGACTCAGCCTAATTACTTTTGTCTGCATGAGCCCAGGGGAGGCAGGGGTAAAGATGAATGGAGCTGAGCTCAGTATTGCCCTCCTCCCTTAGTCAACTTTCTCATTCACTCAGGTTCAATGAGGGTTCCGGGTTGCCAGGCATCATGGAAGGTTTTTATGCTCAGTCTCTTTCAATCAGTGCACTAAAATCCCCACTTCTGAGCCTTCTAGAGCTCACTGCTCCCAAGGCTTAGCACACAATGGAGTATAACTTTCCTAATACGTATGTCCTTTATCGCGGGAAACATTCCATGACCCCCTCATGGTGGTCATAGTGAACAATGCATACACTTCCTTTATGTACACAATGACAAAGCTTAAATATATAAATTAGGGCTGGTAAGAAATTAATAGAACAATTACAACAATGCACCATAATAAAAGTTTCTTAAAGCCTATTAATGGTTTATTTCTATAATTTCCCATTTCATTTTCCCTCTTTGGCTGGCCTCAGTCACTGAAATGTACAAAGCACATCAGTGGGTAAGGGGAGCTAACTAGCTGCAGTAGTTGCAGAATTGTAGCGGGGGGGGGGGGTGTTACTCAGTTCAAGCCACGGTGACATATAGAAGGAGAGCTAAGGACTCAGGTCTGGGTGACAGCCCTCAGAGCTGCCTCTGGGTCCCCATTACCCTGCGACATTAGTCAGGCTTCGGTCCCGCGGGGGTGTGGGCACCGCAGCATGTCACCATGGCTTTCCGCTCAGCTGCGAGGTCGTAGGTGCAGGAGTGAGCGCAAGGGAGCGGCACGTAGCCTCGGGAGGTCCCTCGCTTTGGTGGCCCAGGCTCGGCCTGTCAGGATGGGCGGGCGGCGCCGATCGGCACCTGCCCAGCACCCTGTGTCCTCAAGCCACCCGGGACACCCGACTCCAGGCTGGGAACTGCGGGTCCTGGGGACAGGAGCAGGAGAGCCGCGAGCCTCGGTATCGGAGCGCTGCAGCCACGAGGGCGCGGCGTCTGCACTGCCGCTATCCCTGGCCCGTGGAAGTGTCGCCATCCCGGAAGGGCAGTCACAGGGACAGCTTCCTCCGCAGTCGGAAGTCAGGGGAGCCCCAAGGCCCCAGACTTGCCCTCGGGCCCCGCCCTCACTGACGCTGCTCCCTCGCATGCCATCCCTACCTGGACAGAGACTGTAACCCCACGGGGCGGGGGCGGGGCTCGAGGAAGGCTGGTGCGCACGCACAGAGGTGGGCGGGCCTCGGCTTCGTCTTGCGGCTGGCTGCCATCGGCCCTGTCACCGTGCTGCCCCTGTGACGCTTATAGGCTGAGCACAAGTCTCATTACTCTCCACCGACCAGTTTCCATTTACCGTGCACATTAAGAAAATTAAAGAAACAATCACTATTTGTAGGGGCTTGGTATTTTCTCTAAGAAACAAATGCAGTCTTCAGCACAATATGGAATTTTATGTCGTGGTCAGGCTAATGGGAAAATAGACAAAACAATATAGTCCTGAGGAAACTGGGTTCTTTTAAATCTTTTTAATGTATATGTATATGTATATGGGGGTGGGGTGAGAGCCCGTACTACCAACCCCAGGACTTAAATTTTTTTTAAATTAAGAATTCTCACCCTGTCAGGCAATAGTGGTGCACGCCTTTAATCCCAGCATTTAGGAGGCAGAGGCAGACAGATCTCTGTGAGTTTGAGGCCAGCCTGGTCTACAGAGCAAGTTCCAGAACAGCCACAGCTGTTACACAAAGAAACCATGTGTTGAACAACAACAACAGAAAAGTCAGCTTCATCTACATAGTGAGTTCCAGGTCAGATATACATAGTGAGATCTTGTCTAATGCAAAAAAGAGCCCACTAACACATCTCTCCTCTTTTTTTCTGCCTTTGTATTTGAATTTAGGACACCTCAGAATTTCCCACAGGAAAATGGCTGGAGATTTTTTAAGTACTCAATACTGGAGACCAAGATCTTTTAGAATAGTGAAAGCCAGAGAGGAAGAGGAGATAAAATGGGACTCTACTGGTGAACATTTTTAAATTTTTATTTAAATATTTTTTATTTTACATACTAAACCCAGTTCCCCACCCCATCCCCCTTCCCATCACAGCCCACTCCTCAGAGTGGGTAAGGCCTTCTTTGGGGAGACAACAAAGTCTGGCATACCAAGTTGAGGCAGGACCAAGCCCTTCCCCCTTATCAAGGTTAAGCAAGCTATCCCATTGTAGGGAATAGGCTCCAAAAGGCCAGTTTGTGCACCCAGGGATAGGTCCTGGTCCCACTGCCAGGGGCCCCCACAACAAATCAAGCCACATAACTGTCACCCACATTCAGAGGGGCTAGTTAGGTCCTATGCAGGTTTCCTAACTGTCAGTCCATAGTCTGTGAGCTCCCACTAGCTCTGGTTGGGGCTGAACTTTAATTCAACAAATATCAACTGAAACCTGGTTTATACCAGACTCTGCTCTTAAGCAGATGACAGAACCAAGGACTGTGGTCTTTCAAAAGCAAGCTCCAGGGGATGGTGGCACAGGCCTTTAATCCCAGCACCTGGGAGATAGAGACAGAGGGATCTGAGTTTGAAGCCAGCCTGGTCTACAAAGCAAGTTCCAAGGCAGAGAATATCATAAAACAAAAAGCAAAGCTGGGCAGTGGTGGTGCACACCTTTAGTCCCAGCACTTGGGAGGCAGACGGATCTCTGTGGGTTCAAGACCAGCCTGATCTGCAAGAGCTAGTTTTAGGACAGCCCCCAAAGCCAAAGAGAAGCTGTCTTCAAAAAAACAAAAGAAAACAACCCCCCCCAAAAAAACCCAAAAAGCAAGCTCTAGGTTAGAGTTCCTTTATGTCTAAGGCTGTATATTTGACACAGGAACCTGTGTGGTGTGTGTGTGTGTGTGTGTATGTGTGTTGGAATGGGAGATTCCCTTAGTCAGGCATGTAGCTCAGTAATCCCAGCAATTAGAAGACAAAGATGGTCTAGCAATTGAGAACATACTCTAGAGCACCCACATGGAACAGCTCATAACTATCTATATGTAACCAGTCCCTTTGGGGTCATCAGGCAACTGTACATATGTGTACATATCCACACATATACATGTAATTAAAGGAAATTTTTAATTGGGGAGGGGGACGAATGACTGGTTAAGAGAGCTTTCTAGGAGTACTTTATTCCAGAGTTTGGATCATGTACCTAGGCTGGGTGGCTTACAATCATCTAACTCCGGTTCCATGGGATCTAGTGCCCTCTTCTGGCTTCTATAAGCACCTGCATGAACAAGTAGAAAGCAGAGACAAGTACACACATGTGCACATAAAAAATGAATTGTAAAAACTCTGGCTTTTAAACTGGGTGTTGGTGGCACACGCCTTCAATCCAAGTGCTTGGGAGGCAAAGGCAGGCAGAGCTCTGTGAGTTCAAGGCCAGCCTGCTCTAGAATTTAGTTCTGGGACATCCAGAACTGTTTCATAGAAAAACCCTGTCTCGAAAAACCAACCAACCAAAAAACCCCCCAGACTCTGGCTTTTAGGGCTGGAGAGATGGATCAAAGGTTAAGAGCACAGATTGCTCTTACAGAGGATCCAGGTTTGATTCCCAGCACCCACATGGCAGCTCACAACTATCTTTAACTCCAAGATCTGACACCCTCACATAGATATACATATAGGCAAAACACCAATGCACATAAAATAAAAATAATTTTTTAAAATCTGGCTTTTACTTCATGTTAAATCTTAAAAATTAAAACACAAAAACTCTTACATTCATCTAATTGTGAGATATGGGGACAATTAAGTTCCCCCTACCCTGTGACTACCAGATTAATAGATATATTATCTATTTGGGGAAGTTTCAAGCCTACTTCAAAGTTTCAAGAATAATCTTGCCTTTCAACAAATGTTAACACTGTAAAGTTTGACTAATTTCTCTGCATATACATAAATATGCCCACTGTAAAGCCATATGAAAGCTAGTTGCTGGCATCATTAAACTTCAATTTCAATTTGGAGCTGTATCAATATAAAAAGAAAGATATTTTCCCATACAGCCACAACACCATAATCACACTCATCACATACACAAGTCATGAGTGTGTCAGAAATGTAAGTATGCTGGCAGGTGGTGGTGTTGCAAATCTTTAATCCCAGCACTCAGAAGGCAGAAGCAAGTGGATTTCTGTGAGTTCCAGGACAGCCTGGTTTACAGAACAAGTACTGTAGATGGCTAGGGTTACACAAGAAACCCTTGAAAAAGGGGGAAGCAAACCACAATCTATAGAAAAGAATATTTTATTGAAACAGTTTCTCAATTAACAATGGAACAAAGTACAATTTGATTCAAACCTGTCTAACCAGCCTGAACTGCTAATGAAAGAACTCAAACACACAGGAAGGGGACAGTGTTGGACCTTTAGGTCTCTCTGCCAATGTGGCAAAAAAGGGGGTGAGATGGGAGGGGGGGAAGAAAAGACAAAATGACTGACACACCAGGTTTGCTTTGTCCCGAAGCGGGTAGCCCTAGCCCCTGCTATAGGTGCAATACTGGAGGACAGGCACTCTAGACATGGGCATAATGGGCAAGAGGCTGCCCCTTCTAGCGAAGTACACTGGGAAGTTGGAACCCTGACCCCTCTTCTTTACCCACAAAGCCTGCCTGAGAGTGAGGTGGCAATTTTACATTCACACCATGGTGTCTCTGTCCCTCAGAGTCTTGGGAAAGGGGCTCACAGTAGATAGCACGTTTTTAGTCAGCCCGGGGGAAAGAGGAAACGAGCACGAGAGAAGGGTAGGTGTCACAGGAACTGGGGATAAGGATTCCAAGTGCCTGTAGGATACTTGCATCCTTGCCAGCCACTCCACGTACTTTCATGGGCCCAACAGCCCATAGTAGGGGCTACAGGGCTTTCACATTTTCTCTTTCCACTGGGCAGTGGATTCCCTTCTTACTTGCTCCCTGCTTGCTCTGGCCACCAGGGGTCGCATGAACCACGAGAACATATTTACACAGAAAGGCTTTGGGCTAGAAGACTACAGCCCTATCTGCACTGGGAAGGCATGGACAGAAAGAGCCAAGGAGGAAGGACAAGGGAAAGAGAAGACACAGGAGAGAAAAGAGGCACTGGGAAGCCAAAGGTGGTGACGAGGCTCTGCAGACACTGGACCAAACAGGACACTGATTTTGTGGAAGAGGAAAGAATGAAATGATGCTCAGAAAAGACTGAGCACTCTAGTGTCCCAATACCCTTCCCACTACCAGGTCTCCAACAACCACTGGCAGCCATTCTCTCATTTACCCACAGGCAAACAATTAAGACATAATAGTGATTTTTCTCAAACACAGGGCCAGAGAGTAGGAGACCAGAGGGTGGAGCTGGGGACAGAACTAGATCGTTTCACTCATGGAGCTATTCCAGAAGAACTGCTAAGCAGCCACCTCCTGTCACAGCTGAGAGAAGGAACTTGAGCCCCTAAGGGCAAGACCAACCCCCTGTCCCAACCCTGATGTGTAATAAATAGAGGTGGTAGGAGAAGGGGCTGGATGCGAGACAGCGGGGAGACAGGAGGTGGGG